ACATCATCAGAAATACATGGAGTCAAAAAACTTCATAATTAAGATCAACACATAGAAATTACTCCTCCAACCCCAAAAGTAATAATCATAGTCATGACCATGGATGCATGAGCTCAACTCAGACAAACTGCTCTACTTTTTTGAGTCTGAGAAATTGAAGCATAAATTAGGGACAATGGTAATGATGCTGACAAAGCTTTGTAATTTTATGGTGCTTTATCTTTCCCAAAATACTCTGACACATGTTTCCTAAGATGGTCACAAGTAATATCAACGTAGGAAATTTCTTGCTTTCATTAAATATTATATGGGAAGTTAAAATTATTTAAAATTTTTATCTGATGTTACAGAAAGGCTTAGTTTCTCTTTTTAGAGAAAAAGGGGGAAAAAATATTTCCCACAAACCTGAAGATGGTTTTATTACTAATGTCTGTTTATTCATGAAAGGCAGTATTTCCAGGCTGTTGTTAGATTATCAGCTTTTAAATAATTTGGTCTTGCCAACATATTTCAAATTTGACAGGCTGATTTAAGCACAAAAACCTTTCTATTAAATACTGAAACACACACACATGTATATTCTTCAGTCTAGGCTTCTTGTTTTCAAAATCATCTTATGTTATATTATTACAGTAACCAATATAAATTTAAATGTTGATATGTTTATGTACTTTAGTTTTTAACTCAATAAACATATTTCAAAGGAAGAGGAATGTCTCCATATATTGTCTGAAATTTAGGCCCTCTACACTTTTACAACAGCAAGGTCCATTTGAGGGGTGTTTATACAAAATATATTTACTTCTATGTGACTTTTTCATTTGTTCTGAATAAAAACTGATTTGTGGACCAATTTCATGACCATCTTTTCCTCATACAACCCATGGCTTCACATCATCCTTCAACAATCAAATTTTTGGTTACAAGTGTTAAAATTATATTATAAATCAGTCAATTTTAATATTCTTCCTTGGCCAGTACAGATACTAAGTAAGTCCCAAATTTCCCTATGGGGAAATTTGCCATTACATTAATAAAAGAAGAAATTTAAATCTACATGAGACCGTTCTGTTAGTTAAGGCAAATTATGAGTGAGGTTTTAAAACAGTTAAAATAGTTATCTCCGTGAATAAAGAAGAGTCTTAGTTAGACATACATTAGCATTCTTGAAAGAGGTCATTGGTGAATTGATTTGCATCCAATTTTAGCTGATCAGCTGACTTGAAGAGTAGCTATCTGATTCAGTAAAACTAACAACTATCATCTTGCCAGAAACATTGATTAGAAAATATAAGTTTTCCTCATTCAGAATAGTTTAACATCATCAAATTATGCACTAAGTAATGGAAATAGAATTCTATGTTTGTCCACTGTTATGAGGAATTTTTGCTGATATTTCTCATTTAGAGGAAATCAACACACTTCAGTTTCTTCCTTTGCACTAGATAATTATACATAATGCAGCCTCAGTATATGTTACAAAAATTTTAATCAAAGTGGTTTTTTCTCCACTGTAGTGAAGTGCTGAACCAAACTTTTAGAAAAACTCTGTGGCATAGAATATCTAAAATTCTGGGGGGAAAAAATGTGTGTCTCCTTTCTTTTAGTGTGATTGATAGTAAACTCAGAAATTTACAAAATGAGTCTCATTCTTGAGGCAGAGTTTGTTTCAAAGAAATTTGCCAACTTTGAAGGTTTGGTCTAAACTCAAGAAGTCCTTAAAAGAACTAATTTCAGAACTAATAATAGTCCTTAGTCACTAAGCAATCAAAAAGGACTCTGCATACTTTCAAGTACTCACAAATATAAAAATAGGATTCTTACCTAAGAATCAATGACCTAGAATGTATGTCTAAATTACCATAAAAAGTCTAAAACCAATTGTCTAATTTGTAAGCAGTACAAGTGGAAATTAACTCTATATAATTCTAGGGTCTTCAATTGGCAATGATATCAGTGACTAAACAGGAAAAAAAGAAAAGAAAGAATGATTTAACAAACAAAGGAATGAACTAACAAACAGAAGAAGGAAAAAGACAGTCCATCAGTCCCATAAAAGTAAATTTTAACATCTCTACTTTGACTGTGGAAGAAGTACAGAAAATATCCTCTGAGAATTCCTAACCCAAACTCATGGGCATATGGCCTGAAAAGTGTCAAGCTAAAGAAACTGATATTAAAATGGTCCAGAATAATAGAACACTCAGAAAGCTGACAAAAGCAAACATAATTATATGGCAAAGGAACACAGTTTAAAAGAATGTCTCAAAGAAATCTGAAAGATATATTTGTAAGGAAATCGTGCTCACAGTACAAGATTACTCAACATGCCTAGAAATCAAGGCACTGTGTATCACAAATATTAAAACAGGCACACAAAGACTACAAATACCATAGTTATCAGACTCAACACATAAAGTACAATCTATTTTTTAAAATATGATTAGAAACTGAGAACCTATAAAAGTTACTGATAATCTAAAAGAATATAAAAAGTAATACAAAATTTTCAAAATGGAGCAGATATATTTTTAAAGCAGGAAAACAATTTTTCCTTTATAAAGAACTAAAATTAAAATCCCAATTAACAAATAAATAGGACACAGATCATAACTCAATGGAGCTAATGAAATTGTCCAGAATGCATGCCAGATAGTCACACACACAGCATCACCATCATCATCATCATTATCATTTTCAAGTTTTTATCTGATTTTTAAATTCTGGAACCATGCCACTTCTCTATTCCTAGAAATCTTCATAAAAGAATATGCATCTTCTCTTATTTCCACTTCCTTTTGACTTCCAAAAATAATTTGGGACCTACCAGACTATTGACTGTAAGAATTGTATGGCTCATCACTAAGGAGAAACAAGGAAATTCTTTAGCTATAGGACATGTTTTATTTATAAACAAAGTGTTTCAAAATGAAGAACTGGAAAGATTAACAGACACATAAAATAGAATAATATAAAAAATTGGTATCATTTGAGAAAATACAAAGAACAAAGCCAGGAATGTATTTCTTAAAGGTGAAGATAAAAATACAATTTAAGGGAAGTAAAAGATCTCTGTATTGAAAACTACAGTACTCTGCCAAAGTAGATTAAAGAGGATATCAGAAAATAGAAAAATAATCCTTGATTTTGGGTAGGAAGAACCAACATAGTGAAAACAGTCATTCTCACAATTGCTATACAGATTTAATACATTTGTAGTCTAAATATCATTAGCATACCTTACAGGACTAGAGAAAACATTCCTAAAATACAATTGGAACCAAAAGAGACCTAAAATAGCAAAAGCAATTCTGGGCAACAAAGGCAAGTCAGGGACATCCCAATCACTGACTTGAAATTATATTATGGAACTACCATGGGAAAAAAAAAAACTGTATGATACTGGCAAAATAAATAAATACCAACCTAAAGATCATTGGAACAGATTAGAAGATGCAGAAATAACTCCAAACATACTCAGCCACTTGATCTTTGACACATTCACTGGAAGGATAGCCTCTTTATAAATTGTGTTGGAAAAACTGGTTTTCTACATACCAAAGGCTAACTCTAGACCCATATTTATCACCACGCATTAAACTTAAAATTGACCAAAGATCTAAATACTAAAACAGAAACACTAAATCTACTGAAAGATAAAACAGGTAGAACTCTGGAAGACACAGATGTAGGCAAAGACTTTCTGAACAAAACCCTGGTTACACAGAAATTACCAACAAGTGGAATCTCACCTTATTACAAAGCTTTTGCACAGCAAAAGAAAAAAATCAACAACAAAGTGAAAAGACAATCCATAGAGTGAGAAAAAACTTATTCCCGCCATATCTCAAACATAGGCCTACTATCTAGAACATATAAAAAATAAGACCCCCCAAATAAAAAATCAGACCCCCCAAAATTCAAAGACCCAGTCCAAAAACTGGTATCTGAGAAGAATATACATTCTCAGATGAAGAAGTACAAATGGCAAATAAATATATATATAAAAGTTCAACATCACTGGTCGGTCAAGAAATGCAAATTAAAACAATGCTGAGATTCCACTTCACTCCAGAAAAAAACTGCTGTTACCAAGAAAACAACTAATAACCAATGTTGGAGTAGCTGAGGAGGAAAAGGGACACTTCTCCACAATAGGTAAGAGTACAGACTGGTGCAACCACCATGGAAATCAGTGTGGAGATTCCTCAAAAAAACCTACTATGAAGATCCTATTGGATTTAGCTGTTCCTCATTTTAGATATCTTCCCAGAAGAATTAAAGCATCATACCACAGCAATATATGCTCATTGATGTTTATAGCTATCCAGTTCGTAATAGATAAATCAGGAAAGCAATACAAATGCCCATCAACTGATAAACGGGGAGGGGATTTTAATACAAAGGAGTCCTACTCTTCCATAAAGAAAGATAAAATTGAGCTATGTAAAGCTAAATGGACAAAGCTTGAGACCATAATCATTAAGTTAAACAAATCGGACACACGTTTAAATGTTACGCTCTCTCTTTGATGTGAGAAACTGAAAATATAACGAAAATGTACAATACATATTGTGTATTGGGAAGAAACTAGTCAAAAAGAAAAAGGAGCTAGGGAAGGGAGAGGGAGAAAAGAAGGAAGGGAAGGAATAAAATGAGAAAAGAAAGAAAAAATGCAAACAGCTTTGTGCAAGAGGAAAACAAGAGGTTTGAATGAAGAAACAAGGATACAGGAAAAAAAATGAATCAAGACATACCATGTACAGGTACAAATTCCTATAATCAATGTGGCCATTATGTATGCCTTCAATTGTACCCATAAACTTAAATGAACTAAAAAAGTGCCATAAAGCATAAGTATGAAAAATAGTTCATTCTCCCACACTCCTTCCTCTCCAGAATGTGTGTGCCTTGTCAGTTTTGCAGACAGTCATCTTGTATCCACTTATGAATCTGTGTTCTTGGTTCTTTCGCATACCAACTCTAATCACAGCACTTACCCAAAATTTCTCTGACGCATGTGTACTTGGAGGCCAAATCACTGGCTTCATCATGTCAGCTTCTCCACTATCACGCCGATTCCCCTTGATGCCACAGAAGCTCCTTCTCAATCCACCTCTTCTCTTCTACAGCCCCTCACTCCTGCTACTCTGCCCTCTCTTCCCCAGTATACATTCCTTGTCGATTTTTTCCTCCTTCCTGGAGCAAATCCAAATCACTCAAGTCATTAGGACTCTTTATGTGCCCTCCAGCAGGTTGTCTTCTCCGAGTGATGTCATTTCCCTCTCCCTGTCTTCCCTCTGAGTCTCCTCCCTCCAAACCACCCTCCAATCTACTCTTGAGGTGGCTGAGGAACATTTTTCCATCTGACCCACCTAAGTTTTAGAATGCTACTTCATCTTCAGCCTGGAGAAGTAAGACATCTGCTGTTTGTTATCTAAGGAGATAAAAGTAGCTGATCCTCAGCCCACAGTCTGGAGAGATCTCAAGTTAGCTGACTTGCTTTTCTTCTTGGTTTCTTTGTGATTGTTCTACTGCAATAATATCATGACTGTTTTTGAATTTTTGCTCTCAGAAAACAATATGGAGCTCAGTCCTAGGTTTCTGAGAGTATACTGATATGATAAGCATTTTCTTGCTAACAGGAAGTAAGTAGGAAAGTTTCAAGTTAAAATTTGACCCATATAACTCTCTCCTCTTCTGAGTTTTAGTTTCTAACTTGGCAATGCAGATTATGACTGAAATCTCTCTTTGACTTTCACCCTGAAGGCTGATATCTAACAAAGCAAAAGTCTACCTCCTTCATTTATTTATGTTTATTTGATAGATTATTTTGTTCCCCTTCTCTAAGAAATCTCATCTCAGTGATCAGACCTTCACTTGTCACGGACTGAACTCAGGAGTAACCATAACATTTAATGCTTTGACAAAAAAAAAAAAAAAAAAAAAAATATATATATATATATATATATATATATATATATATACTCTACAAAATAGCCTGAGTAGGACCAAATTTAAAAGAGGCACTTATATTATGATTAAAAAAAAAACAATGTGATTACATAAAAATACAGTTTGCAGTATGTCCAGGAATTTAACAATGTAACTACTCAGAAGCATCTTTTGAATTGATCAATATGGAAATGACTCATGAACTAGACCCCCAAAATGTCTCTATTCCTCCAAATAGATGTTAAACTCCTTAAAATGATTCCTTCTTATTCCTTAGATTCCAAACTTCACTTAATGAATGAACCAATAAACGAATGTTAATTTTCTCATCTTATGGAAAGAAAATACCATCTCCCAATATTTCCTATATCTCCTTTTTGACCTTGCAAGAATTTCTGGATCATTACATCCACAAAACAGATGTAAAATACAGAGAAGGAGTGATTCTTGTTATTATTTCTAGACTCCAACAATTCAAGTCTAAAATATAAAATGTGTCTGACAGTTTATGATTTATTGCCAAATGAATATATATTAGCAATAGTTGTAGTCACTATTCAGAAAAAAAAAACACTTCAGGATTAAATCATTAGGGTATATTTTCAGAATTGTTAGAAAGGTTTTAAGAGTGTAAGATGTTAGACATGAACAATATTTAGAGTGTAGAGAACTCATTTGGAGACAGAGAATGGCAAATAAACCAGTTAGCTGAGCACAAGACGTCTAAATTATTGTCATGGACAGGAAAAATGCACTATTTAGTTTTCACAATTGTTTTGAAAGGGTATTTATAGTATTTTGCTGTTCTGCAGAATGTTTTATGATTTATGATTCTAATCACAGACAGTGCTTGAGCATGAAAGCTAATCTGCCCCCTCTGTATAAAGAGACTTCTGCTTTGAGAAGTAGAGCAAGTATTGCCCTAAAAATGTCTCCCAATTTTTTGCTCAAAATTTGACCTTCTGTTTGGAAAAAAATACTTGACAACTTGTTGGATAAAACTGAACAAAGTCATTTTAGAGCTAGAGCAGAAAATGTATTGATTTCAATAAGCTGCAAGGTTATTGCCTACGAGTATATAATTATAATATTCACAGGTTTATAAGATGAAGAAAAGAATATGAAAAATATATATGCATGTACACAAGTGACAATTTCTATATTCTGAGAAACTGTATGGGAAAAACTATGGTCATTTGCTCTCGTAAGAAAGAACACTAGCAGATGCAAAGGAGCTCTTAGTTCTTTGGACTTTGCTCTAAGCTGTACAAAAGAAATAAAGGCCAAAAGACCCCTGACTGACATGTCTACAAAGAATTACAAAATGAACTGAATCTCTACTACTGAAAGTCACATTATATTCCTCATCCATTAGATGATGTTTCTCTAGTTTTATTCCCTTCCTATCCCTGCTTGGCAATATTTCTGGAGGGATATTGGTTCAACAATAATCTGATCATGTCACTCCTTGTCATATCACATAAAGTAATGGCCCTCCTTCCCTTCAGAATATAATCAAAATTCTTAGATTTATGTGTACATCTTTTTACAGTGTATTTCCCATCTGCTTTCCCATTGAGAGGAGATAACCTCACCATCACCCAATTTGTACGCAATATTCAACCCTAAAAAGTTACAGATAACTCCAAATAGCCCATGTAGATAACCAGCACAGAAATACTACTAAATAATTTTAGCACTGTTAATTACTACTACTAAATTATTTAGTATTCTAGCTCTAAAATACTGTGAAAAATCATTTTAAATCACTGTAATCATGTTGAAGGTAATAATATAGAAGTTACATGTAAAGAACAAGTGATTTTAAAATGCTTATTGAAATATGAATTGTATAAGATATTATTTCTAAGTAAATTAAATAATTCCATGTGAATAACTTAAAATATTTATTACTTATTAATAAATAAGTTAATAAGTATGTCTATACATTTGACTACTTTATGTATTTATTAAGCATTATGCATTTAAAATGATCAATTTTAAGAAAAGTATTTATGGAACTTCTGTTTTTGAAATTAGAAAATCATCATTTGTTTAATATTTTGACATATAATATATATGAATAAAGTTTTACTAATTTGAGAAAAAATGACTATTTCCTCAATTGTTTGGCTAGACAAGCCAACATTAGTTGAGTTTTTGATCCTAGAAAGTGGGAATATTTTACAAATGGACATTTTCTTTTGTTGATGCTTAAGGAAATTTTACAAATTAAACAAAAACACATAAGAACTTGGAGGCGCTAGGTTAAAACCTTTCCTTAAACTACAGAGTATGTTGTTGGTATCTGATTACTTTTTGGGGAAGAACATACTCAGTCTCCTTTAAATTCCTAGAATCTTTTGAGTATTCACAGTGTCTCTAAGAAAGCAGCCAGGTTGTTAACAACAGAATGTGATTGGCTGTCGTGGTGGTGCATGCCTGTCATCCAAGCACTCTGGGAAACTGAGACAGGAGAAGAATAAGTTCACACTCAGCCTGTGCAATTTAGTGACTTAATGAGACTGTCTCACAATTTAAAAGGGCAGGTCAGGATGCCCTGGGTTCAATCTCCGCTACTGAAAATAAAATAAAGAAAAAATAAATGAAATGAAAAAGAAAAATAGAATGTTGAGCCTCAATGAGGTGAAAGACCTGAGCCAGCCACAGATTAATCTAATCTCATAATCTGTGCTTTTAACTCCCAGAAAGAGCAATGTTAGATAATACTGAGAAAGTGGCTGGTTTTTTATTATTCTAAACCCTGTAGCCTTAAAATTCAATGCATGCCACCCTTGATTCTGATTATTTGCAACACCAAACATTTCCCTACATCTCCCTTCTATTTTTCTAAATATTTTTCAATCACTTTAAATGAATGTCATAGCACATCATTAGGCTTCCTCTTCTGTTTTATTAACTCTGAATGAATTTCTTCCACTACTGCATTCACATCCTCTCTCTTCTTTCTCTCTAATTATCCTGTCTTTTTTGGTAAATTTACTATTTCTAAGATTGAGCATAATGGACATTTTTGTTACACGTTACACTAGACAAAATGTTTACAGGCTAAGAGAGCAATTACATCTGCCCTGATAAGCCAAACAGCACAGGAGGAAGAGAACTTCAGCCCATGACACCTGTCTTTCCTATTACTTGCTAATACATCTTTGCACAATATAGATTTTTTTCAAAACCTGCCTTTATTCCTGCTACTTATTCTTTTCCACTACAAATCACATGTCTTTGTTTTTGACATAACAGTCAGTGATGTGGGAAATATTACAATGTAGTTGTCCATGACTTGCTTTCTAATAAGGTGATAAAGCATCAGTATTGGCTCAGTTTCCTTCCAAATATGTTGAATGAATTTTGCATGAAATGGTAGCAGAGTGCCCCAATATCAGGAAAAATGCTGAGAAATATAAAAATCACTTTAGAGGGAGAAATCTCATGAAAGCGAAGCACACTTTGTTTTCCCCATTTTGTTACCTTCACTTTTCAATGTACATTTGTTAGGTATTTGGAAAAGATATTGTCTAAGATATAACTAAATTACACCTTTTGGAATCACTACAGCTGTGTCTTCATGGTATGATGTCAGTATCCAGCCTACCAGCAGATCCTCTTATAATTTTTGTCCATAAATAAACCTCCTACTTCCTCAATTTAACAAAGACAAAGCTCTAGATGAACTCTTTTCAGATTGAACATAGTATAATTTACTTTTCAATTTCACACCCAAAGATTCTGTAATGGAGGAATGCAGGCGGTTAAGTTTTCAGTCATACCAAATGGGTTTTTAATATTTAAAATCCATCTGTTTACTTACAAAGAGTAAATGCCTGGAAATGAGGCTTCTAAAATGCAAATGAACAGCTACATGACTTATTTCTGCTTGGGAAAATTCAACACTTTTCTGACAAAAGGGAGTACTAATAGCTCCAGAAGAATCCAATAATCTTATAAATGATGTTTGATCCAATAGTGCATGATATGTGTGTGGGGAAATCGAAGGTCTCTTGTTTGTTATGACTGCATTATGAAATGCCTCATGAATTAGAGGGAAGGGAGGAGACTGAAATTAGCACAGTGCTTTGCAAATAGTCAGCTATACCAATGTTAGGATGCCTTGGCTTACAGGACCACCTAGCAGAATTAAGAAATGAAATACAATTTCAGAAAAATTAGTTCCCATCTCCACCCATGAAATACCAGGGTAGAGCCAGGCCTCTGCTACCCTTCTACACCACAATTTAGCTTCATTCTTTGTTCACTTTTAATTTTGAGAAATTAACCTTTACTTTTATACAGTTGCTTTTCTCAATTCATGATGTCATAAAAGATCATTAAAAATGACAAATTCTGTATA